ATATATATTTAAAGTTTTAAAAAATATATAATTTATAAAATAGAAATACACAGAATATAAATAGAACATAATTTAGAGTAAAGTATAAATTTGGTCCCTGTGATTTGGAAAATGGTTAAAGAAAAGGGACTATTTTCAATGGTAAATATATACTTTTTTATTATGGTCAGAGAAAAACATTTATTAAGGGTAAATTGTCTTCTTATAAAATAAGGGACCGTTTATCTAAATATTTACCTGGTAAGTGTTTAATATTATGAGTCAACATTATAATTTATTTTATTAGGTAAGATTGTAGTATATCAAAACGTATCATATGCAACAATTTACCTGGTAAGCGCTTATCCGGATAAGAGTCGTCACCCTCACTTACCGGGTAAGACTCTCCATCCTTATCATCACTCATACCAGGTAAGATTCTTGACCCTTATCATGTTCATCCGGTGAGAAAAATTACCCGATAAGTACTTACCAGGTAAGCTTTTAGTAAACGGCGCCTAAAAATGTAAAAATTGTGTATTTCTAAAACTTTGTATTTTTTTTTATCATGGACATTTGTTTTAGGACTGGTAAAATAAATAAGGTTTATTTTATTCATATCCCTTTTTATAAATGCATGTAAGTCATAAAAGAGAGAAGAAGTAGAATGATAGCGAGTTCGAGTCGCGAACGATTAGCAAGTGAATGATCGATCATTTTGTTTGCACCACCAATACTGTTGCAAGGTTGGTATTTGGTGGCACAAGGTTGATGAGAGCATAATATGGAATCTGGGTCGTTTCATCGACCACCATTTCTTTACATCTAAATTAACCAACACTACTGGTATCACGACCATGCTACTACTGTCACGCTCCACCACCAACCCCGCTACTGTGATGATGACAATAGTGACCTAGTGGTATTGGTGGTGGGTGTAGTGAGACGGGGGGCGGGGCAAGTGTGAGGCGAGGTGAGACAAGGGCGGGGGCAAATGTATATTTTTTAAATACAAGAACTTCTTTAACAATGGTCAACAATGGCTAAGGAGTAAAAGGAACAACTTAGAAGAGTGTAATTGCTTAAAGCAATCATATACCATGATCATGATATATGGAATTTTTTTGAATTATTTATATTACAAAGGAACTACGTTGATGAATTATCAATAATAAATGTGGGTTTTGCGATACAAAGGTTGTTATTCAACGATTTTGTTGTTGTGAAGAAGACTAGAGCGTTATCAGAGACGTTTAGACGATAAGGATAGCATTGGACAAAATTTTGATATCAGTGTTTGGACCATTTTGTGTATCGTGTCGAGTTTGCTTTTAAGTTTCTTTGACTTCAACACTATGAGCCAAAAAAATAAATATATTATATAGGAAATATGGCCAAGTATAACTGAAAAACAAACATAAGAGAAGAAAAAAACAGAACAAATAAGTCATGGGTCCCTAACCCAGCCCTTGCCTAGAAAACCAATCTTAACCTACCCACAGGACCATGAACCCGTTTTGGTTTGAACCCAAAATCGACATTGTATATTTGTATGTCGTATGCTTTTTTTCTAATTCAAATATGTTTATTCTTTTGTTGAAGATGTTATCATAGTGATACCCACATGAAAATGCATCAGGCACGAAGGTGCCAAGTTTTTAAACTTCATATTATGATATGAATTTATCAAGCTTGCTTCACATAACATAGAAGTTTTGTATCAAACACAATTTTTAATAGATACAGTAAAAGCTATATTGTACAGTTTAAGAATCAAGAGGTTTTCTCGACAAGAACCATTTTACTTTTAAGGATACTAGAAGGGTACTCGTGCAATGAATCGACACATATTTTGATTTCAGTGTTTCGTTTTATTCTTTTTTTATATCGAGATAATACGGTTTTATTTGGTTTTGAGAAAACGATAATGCTTTTATTTTAGAATAAAATATAAATTTGAAAATATCATAAAATTTTGGAAAAAGAATATATCGATATCAGTATCAGTATCAAATTAATCTTTTTAAAAGTTCTTGTGTTTTGGTGTAATTTCCTTAATTCAACTTTTTTAATTATAATTTAATTTAGGTTTAGTAACAAAGAAATTTAATTTAAATCAATTTTTTATATTTAAAATAGAATGTTTATCCAGTATTTGATTATATTTATCTGCAGTTAGTTACACGAATTTAAATATGGAGCTCTAATAAGTTGTACTTATGCACAATTTACTTGTAATCTTAAATTTTAAATGATATGCATCAATAAATGGTACTTCATGCATAAAAAATGATTTTTAAGAGTTTTTGTCAAATGTTTTATAATATAGTATCAATAGTTTAGATTCATATATTATATCTATACTATATTATAAAACATTTGACAAAAACTCTTAAAAACCATTTTTTTATGCATGAAGTATTGTTTATTGATGCATATTACTTAAAATTCAAGATTACAAGTAAATTTTGCATAAGTACAACTTATTAAAGCTCTATGTTTGAATTCGTGTAACTAACCGCGAATAAACATAATCAAATAGAGGATAAACATTTTATTTTAAAATATCAAAAATCTAAAATATAATTAGGATAATTATTGAATTATAACATAATATTTAATTATTATCTTTATAAAAAAATATTATTAAACCTAAATTAAGTTACTTCATTACGATAAATTAAATTATAATAAAAATTTTGAATTAAAAAAATACACAAATAAAAATTTTTAAATAGTTAATTTGATACTAATATTAATATATATTTTTTGCAAATTTTATATGATATTTTTAAATTTATATTTTATTCAAAAATAAAAGAATTATCGTTTCTCAAAACTACATAAAATCGTATTATATCGACATAGATAAAAAATAAAACGAAACATCGAAATTGAAATGTGTCTCGATGCATTGCACGCATACCCTTCTAGTATATGTGTGTGTTACATTTTATACTTTTAACTAAAACTAAAAGATACTCAATCCAACTCATTTAATTAATTTGGTATATTATATATTTTTTGTTTTTTCTTTTATCGATCTTACTTTCCAACAATAAAAAACATGATTATACGAGATGCTTTGGTTTTGGTGAAAAGAAAGTCGGGATGAGAAGTGTAAGAAGGGATCTTCATTCCTAGATGCATGTTAGGATGAGATGCACCAAATCAATCTTCGTATCAAACACGATTCATATATGGTTTTGAGATTAAAAGTAATCAAGGGTCGATATCCCTACTTAAGCTTAAGCTTCTAACACTATGTTTCACCTATACGAGATTGTCCTTGAGTTAGGAATATGTTTCACCTACACGAGATTGTCCTTGAGTTAGGAATGGATGTAAAAACCTTGGGCGCATTCAGAAGGGCAGTTTGGGAAGTTGATGCAAGAAGGAACCAGCTATCAGAACCAAACCACCGGCCGGGACCATAAGATGAGGTTACTGTACCCGCACTCTCCGTCTCCGTCTCCGATCTTTATATATTTATAATTTCCCCAATTTTCCATAAAATCAAATAAATTAATTAATCATCGAAAATTGGATTGCAGTTTTTCAAGAAAGCCAAATTCAAAGGAATGGCGATGGTGGCCAATTTGCAGATGATTCCGCCTGATTACCACCGTAGAAGCACCCAATCGATCGCCGCCTCTCCAACTGGGTTTCTGCCGGAGATCAAGGGTTGGTTACTGCATTCCCAATATTCATATGATCAGTTTATTTGGTTTTTATGATTATATGATTGGATGTAGCTTAAATGATTTGATATGGTATAGTTTGGTTCGGGAAGATATCACTTGCTATGTCTTGTTAGAATTATATTATCTAATTGATGATTTATAGGAACACTGTTATGTGCCGAAAAATTGGATTCTAAACCAAACAAAACAAACTCGATACATCTCGTTCTAGGGGTGTTACGTGTTAACGTTGGCTAGACTTGGACCTATTCTCATCAATATATGTTGGACCATCTCTTGTCTCTTCAATGAGGAGTAATCTAATGGGATTCCACATATTCTTTAATGGTATCGAAGCCAAGGTTTGCACTCGACACCTTGGGAACTTTGTGCCAGTCTATGCCCCTTTTGCGACAATGTGTACGTCTACCCTCAATTGAAGAGGGTGTTAGAGTCTCACATCTGTTTAGACTTGGACCTGAAATAAATAGGTGCCTATTTACCCGTTGTCGGTACAAAAGTTTGATAAATAATCACATGTAGGACTGTAAACGAACCGAACGTTCAATGAACAATTCGTGAACCATTCGGCGGGAAGTTCGTTTATTTAATAAATGAACAAACATGAATAATTTTTTTTGTTCGTTTAGTTAAATGAACAAACATGAACAAGAGTCTCGTTCGTTCATTTACCGTTTGTTTACGTTCGGTTATATTCATTCGTTTATGTTCGTTTATATATCAAATTTAATATATAATCTTTTATTTATTTACTTTGAATTCAAATAATATTTATTTATGTTCGTTTAACCTATTAGTTATGTTCGTTTAGCATGTTAACGAATGAACATAAACGAACATAACAGACCTTATTTCTAAACGAACGAACACGAACACAAAGATTTTCGTTCGTTTATTGCTCGTGTTCGTTCGTTTGTTCGGTTAAGTTAAATGAACGAACATGAACAAGGCTCCGTTCGTTTACAGCCCTAATCACATGTTTTACTCTACCATTCGATTCCTATGGACTAAGAGCGCATATCATTGTCGAAAATGAGCATTGTGCGAAATGCAACGAAATGACTGCATACAAATATCATTGTTCGTGTGCAATTTTGCTCATAATACGTGCGAAATAGTTTGATACAGTACTAGAGGACTTGGAAAAGCTCTTGCATTCGAGTTTGTACTTTCTGGTGATTGTGTGGTCATTGCTTCAAGAACATAAGTACCAAAACCAAGAATTTACTTACTGTTTTTTGCTATACGAACAGTAAAGAATCCGTTGACATGACAATTAGAGAACTCGAGGCCCGTGTTTCTTTCACGGACGCCATTGAAATGTACACAGAGAACACTTGGGTGTCTGTGTTTTCACTTTCCATTGTTTGTGCATTCATCATCCTTTCTACCACAACTGGCAATGCATCACCAGGAACTTAAAGACATCTTTCAAGATTTCTTGAATTTGAATGAAACAAAGCATTATATGTATGTATGTATGTATGTATCATGATGATCCTGCTGGATTTAGCACCAAGTTGCTGAAGAAACAATCGGGTGTTCGGTCTTTTTCTTCGAACCGCATCCATCTGTCGTTTCTAAGCGTTCGAGCAACAACGGGCATGTGGTTGACATCTTGTTGCATATTTTGGGGTTTAGTAGGAAACCTGCTTGTGTATGGCCTTAGACATTATTTCCAACCCTCCCACAACTACACTATCAAGTCCAAAATCCGAGTGTACGGGACATTACACAACAAAAACTTTTCTGTCGGGTTCAATTATTTTCTTGTACTTGATGCACCATAAGGGTGATGTTCGACATATTTCGTCAAGAAGAATCCGGCGATAACAAAACGGCACCTTATTACTTGAAATCTGCTTTTCTTTTTGCGTCCTTGTAATTATGTGACAATAAGACCTAGTATTTTCAAATAACACCGAAATCAATCCGATATAGCTTTGGTATCATCGAAAAGACCTGGTCAAGATAAATCTAATGATACTAAAATATGGAAAAACGGTGACATCAAGAATTTTCTTTAAGCAATATCGAGATTATGCAACGATAATAAATTTTAACAACCATTTTAGGGGAAAAGCAATGATTCATATTCAGAAGGAACCCAAAAAGTTACCTATTTATGATAAATAACATGAAAATTATTCGTAATTAATATCGTGATTGAAATTCATGTCACAAATTATTTAAAATAAAAAATACGTGATATTTAATAAACAAAAATATATATAAAATATTAAAAAAAAGAATATTTACATATGATGGTTGTTTAAACCTTCCTCAATCGCGTTTTGTATCCCCACAAATGGGAATAAAATTGGGTCAAAGTCAAATATTTAAGTTTCAAAACACTACTTTCCATGATTGATAAATTTGACCACCGAAATTTGAGTCGGTTGCATTCAATCAAAACCTACCGAGTTTGGTAGTCATTTTATATAATTCTTTGTTAATTTTGTTTAATTAAACCTGAATATTAAATTGTACGTGATACTTTTTTATGTGTGTTTTTTAGTTTTGTGATTGTACATAGTTTAACAGATCTTAATGCGTCGATTTTTGTTTTTATCCATGCATTCTATAACATCGAGCCACCTACTTACCTTTTGAAGATCACATCCAAAATAGAAACTTGCATACATATAACAATTGCAATATTTTTTTGATTTTGTTTCACTGTTAATTACACGAGCATTTACGAAACTATACACAACAAGCAATTCATACTTGTCAAACTTCGACTAAATAACTTGAGTCCTCGGCTTCCTCACCTTCTCATTTTCTTTGTACTTGTATTTTCACGATCACCACCTAGAATGCACGCTTAAAGTAAGTTCCTGAGTTCATGATTTCTTAACCTAACACACATTCATAAACAAATGGCTTCAATCTTGGTATGTAACTTTTTATTCTAAAGTTATATATATATATATATATATATATATAACATGATTTTATCATGCCTATATTCTTATTCATTTCGAGTTTTATGCGTTTTTCGTTATAAAATATCAGATATATACCAGTTTAATATTAAAAATTTAATTATTGAAGAAAATATAAGAATGTTTTTGAGTTTTGTAAAGGTTTATATGGTGGGAGAGTTGGTGTAGTGCACGATGTGAAATATGTGTATGACTCATGCTCTCACAGAAGGAAAATATTGCATTCTAGAAGCGTACAATTAATTCAATAATGAGGAAAAAATTAATTCAATAAAAATAAAAATTCCAGACCGGGTCAGCAGGTTAAAGTGTACCAAATCCCGGTCGATATTAAAAGCCGCCCCCATATCAACCCTTTTTTCTCAATCTTCTAATCTATACAAAATTGTAAGATGTTATAATTCAGAGTTATAAAAATAATCGTATAAAATATTTAGGTGGTGTTTGTTTTTTAATAGATGCTGAAGTTTAAAGTTTGGTTTGGTTTTTGATTTATAAGAGATGGTGCTGAAGTCTGAAATATGGATCAGTAAAACTGTTTGTTTTTACATTTGAAGTCTGAAATCTGAATCGTCAAACTGGTGAAAAAATATAAAAAATAAATAGTTTTTTTACAAAAATATAAAAGATAAATAGTTTTTATTAACAAATTTCTTTCAGCCCCAAAATATGAACAAAAGTGTCTATTCGTGTAATGTAGTGCCATCTATTTTGATAATGAAGTCAAAAATTCGAACTCATTCTAATTTTTTTTCCTTTTTTTTCTCTATTTTGATTTTATTTTATGATTTTGTAGTTTTAAGAGAGTGAGAGGTTTTTTTTTTTTTACTTTTTATTATTATTATAATCATGTTTTTTTTCTATGAAAAAGGAATAAACATGTCAATTAAATTTTAATAACGGCTAGAGAAAAGAAATATGAGAAATAATAAGAATTTATTTATTATGGTTTGAATATTTATGAAAGATGATTATGGTTCATTAATTATGATTAATACTTTATATTATGAAACAATCAAAACTTTTATGAAATCACATATTCATCAAATTAAATGGACGGTTGAGATTGAGTTGTATTGATTGTACAAATGTAAAGGGTTGCATAATAACTCACCTTAATAATACTTTAATTAAAAAGTTTTTACTCTTAAAGTTTAAAACAAATTATTTTAAAATTACTAATATTTTAATCAAACAAATTAAATCAAAAAAACGAGAATTTCATTCTCTTTGATATGACATCCATCTTGATATAGTTTTTCTCTATTTTTAACCGGAGTTTTTTTCCCCTAAAATGATATATATATATATATATATATATATAAACTAATTTATGTTCATTGATCAAATTTATAAACTAATGATCTAATGGTCTAAATTTGCAATGTGGCAATTTTGTAATTATTGAGAAGTTTCGTGGCGTTTATAAATGTTCAGATCTGACGATTGTAAATCTAATCCAAGGGTTGAGAATTGGTCTGACGGGTCTCACGAAAAATCATTGGTCTCACATGATCCCAAGTCTATATATATATATATATATATATATATATAGGTGGAGGTTCAAACGAGAATCCCTGTAATTTACGAAAACGCGAAAACAATCTAATAACCTCAAACTTTTTTAATTAATAAATTAAATTATATTAAATATAAATAAATTAATAAGGGCAGTAATCTAATTAAGTAATTTTTATTTTATTTTAATTAGTCATAATTATCCTTTTTTTTTCCCTGCACGTTCGTTTCCACTCTCTTCTCTCCCCTTATGATAATTGTGTCATTGTGTAACCATAACCTATCAAAACCATGATCAATCAAGTGTAACCATAACTTATCGAAACCATGAGTAATCGTTGTGATAAATGTGTGATTGTCTAACCCTAACCATTGAAACCATGATCAAATTGAGTGCACTACCACTACCAAAAAACCCACTTTTTCCGCCGGCCAAATCCGCCGGAAAAAGGAATTTCCGGCGGATTTGGCCGCCGGAAAAAGGGGTGCCGGTGATTTTTTTTCGGCGGTGTTTCCGGCGGATTACGGCCGCCGGAAAATCTCCGCCCGGTTTTTAAAAAAATCTTGATTAACTTAAAAATTAATTAATTTTTTTTTGAAAAAAATTCCGGCGGAATTTCCCGCCGGAA